AGGGACGCGACAGGCGACCCAGGTCTGCACCAATCAGAGCGTCCGATTCCCCTCGGTCGCGGTGATTGGATGAGGGGTGGGCACGGCCCAATCGCTCCCAAGGAGATGCAGGAGACTTCCGCTGAGACTGAGAAGACTCTCGCTGCTTCCTGCCGCACCTGAACCAGCTCTGCAATAGCCCCTTCCCCCGCCCTCATCAGCCTATAGAAAAATTAGAGGGTTTTAAGGAACACTTGTCAGAGCTAGGAGTCATCAGCTGAGAGAAGAGTGTTCCCTGGGCCCGCCAAGGGATGGGGCCTGGGATAGGACACCCGTAGAGCCTGGGGGCAGCTGGCTGAGCCTGGCATTCCATTCTCCAGTTCGTTCACCTGCGGATGCAGCAGAATTGCTCATTTGCGCCACCCCCCCCCCAACCTATCTGAGCAGAGGAAAAGTAACTGGAGAGAGATGTCAGGGCAGAGGGAGGGGGCAGCCACCGTTGGTGTGGCCAAAGGGTGCGTCTCCCATGGGCCACATGGATGCTGAGGAAGGCATGGAAGCTCAGAGCCAGCCATCTTGCTAGGAGATGCCAGCACGCAGAGGCATGAGGCAGGACCTGGCAGCCCCACCCTGTCAGGGAGCTGTGTAGTGGGGAGGTCCCAGGAGGGCTCCGAATAACTCCTCCAGGGCCCCATCCCAGAGGCCACCGTGGGGGAGGTGCTGAGAGAAGCCTCCGTTAGGCAGGAATGGGGGATCTGTTGGAAGGCCCCAACCCTGGGAGGAGAAGGGGGCCCAGGTGGGGCAGGGCAAGGACAGGAAGGAGGGTGAGAAAACAGATCACTGGCCCCCGCCCCGGGGCAGCGTCCCCAGGCCATGGGTCAGCCTGAGGGGGGAGATGGAAGGACGTGAAATTGGATCTGAGACTGAAGTTTTAAACTGGACCAGACTAGTCTGGACTTTTCAATGCCTAAAAGTGACCAGAAATCTTTGAGATCTATTGGAGGTATCATCAAGGAAAGGGAAAACGAGATTCATCAGAGCACATTTAAAAGAAATAATTGGAGAAAACACAAAATGTTTCCATGTTTGTACCTCACTTAGGTCAAGACTGTTCAAAATACTGGTTCCGCATCTGTCTTGAGACCACTAGGGCAGATCCTGTCTGCAAATGGAGTATGCCTAGAGTGAATGGAGCTGAAAGATGGGGAGAGAGAACAACCTGGGTTCCAGTGATAGAGTTTGAGCCCCTGTATCAAGCCATACCTGAAGGTAGATCTCCTCTCTGGAGTTTTCTGTTATGTGGGTCAATAAACTCCCTAGCTGATCTGAGTTAAGTTTTCTATCACTATTAGCAGAAAGAATCCTGACTGATACAGTGCACATACACATTTTTGTTCTTGGGGAGAGGGACACAGCTTTCATCGGATTCTCATAGGGCATAGCTATAAAAGGATATGGCTTAGAGGAAAGAAACTCTGGAGCTGAAATCCAGCAATCTCATTGACAAATACAAGGGAAAACATTGGATGAGGTGTGTGGGGCTCTCCAGGGACATCGTGGAAGAGCTAGGTCAGAGCCTCCTTGGGTGTAGGGTCTGGGGCCTGAGTCTGACATTAACTGGCACTCAAGAAATATTTGTTGCATGAAAAGCAACAGGAAAATTATAACAAGTCATACTCTACATGCAAATTTTCGGGAAAATATCAAATGTGTGAACATCTAATCTGCATTTCCATGTCCTGACAGATGGCCCATATTAACAGAACTCTGGTTAAAGTAAGGAAAAGGAAGGAAGGAAGGAAGGAAGGAAGGGAGGGAGGGAGGCAGGAAGGAGAAAAGAACCTACAAATACTCATTGAGTGGGTACCATGTGCAACACCTAACTATTAAAACAACTGTCAAATCAATTTTTTAAAAAAGACAACACCTATGTATTCCCATCTCTCAGAGACAGTCCCAGCTATGACCTGGAGAAAGAAAATGACCTGGCTTGTGGTGGTGGGGGGTATCTTTCATGACTGGGGCAGGGCTTTGGACCCTGTTTCTTATTAGAAGAGGGGTCTGGACCCTGAAAGTCTAGGGCTGACTTCTCAAGGTGGAACCAGGGACCACCTGTATCAAAATTACCTGGTTATGTTTATTTAAAATGCAGGTTCCAGGGGCGCCTGGGTGGCTCAGTCGTTAAGCGTCTGCCTTCGGCTCAGGTCATGATCCCGGGGTCCTGGGATCGAGCCCCGCATCGGGCTCCCTGCTCCGCGGGAAGCCTGCTTCTCCCTCTCCCACTCCCCCTGCTTGTGTTCCCTCTTTCACTGTGTCTCTGTCTGTCAAATAAATAAAATCTTTAAAAACAAAAAACAAAAAAATGCAGGTTCCTAGGCCCTGGCCCAGATTTACAGAATAAGAACCTATGAGGAAAGGGCCCTGGCATCTGCATTTTAAACCATCTTTCCAGAGGCTTTTCTGTACATGAACGTTTGAGAAACTGTACTACCGGAATCTGTTTATTTTCCTGTGGGGTCTCAGTGCCTGAGGGCATTCTGCACAGCCCCAGGGGAGGTGGTTCTCCCGGGGTTGGGGGGATTGGAAGGAAGCTGGGGTTTGGTGATACAGTATCACCCTCCCTGAGCTCATGGGCAGTTAAGGCTATGTCAGAGGTAAGGGGTTGCGTGAGTGAGGGCCTCTGGATGGAAGTCAGTAACAGTCGTCGTGTCCTTGTGGTAACCAGATACAATTACGATGTAGCTGGTGGGACAGACCCCTAGAGCCCCACAGCTCTCTAAAGGACACCACACTTTCTAGACTTGATCATTTGCTGCCTTCTATCGCCCTGGAGGGTGTCATTTGGGAGGGAGGTATTGTTTTCATAGACATTATTATTTTTTTCAATTGGTGATTAAATTTCCTGAAGGTGAGGATCATGACTTCTACTTCCTAGAGCTCTTGCCCCCTCTTCAACCCACCGCCCTGTCTCCCATACTGCTGACCACTCTCTAGGTGCTTGAAAGTCTTTAGTTTGACCTGTGTCCTGGTTTGTTTGAGACCAGGGGGCGAATTCCCTTTATTGCCTTTACTGCTTTCCTGGGATAGCAGCCAGAGCTCCCTCTGGCATGTGCTCTCCCAAGTGCTCAGTCCTATGACATGGGTATGATTGACTCCAGGGGTGGGATTGACCGGCTTAAGCCCTTCTATGCCCCCATTCCCATGGCCATGATAGTTGGTTCCAGAATGGGCGGTGACCTAAGCATCCTGACCAGAGTGAACCTGACGACTCTTGCTGAGAATTTGGGGCCACCAATTCTTTTCTCTCTTGGTAATGAGCAAGGAGGCCTGCTGGAGTCCTAGACATTCTTGGCAGGCTGCCTGGACTTTGAGAGGAAAGCACACGAGAATGGGGCCATGACTAAGGATGCACAACCAAGAAGACACTGGGGACTGAAGCCACATCTATTCCTAGGCTATTCAGTGATCTGTACTGATAAGTACTCCCCCCCAACCCCTGCCGCTGTATTTTTTTTTTTTTTTTGCTTAAATCAGTTTGGGTTGGGTTTTGTTATGTGCCATTAAATGTATCCTGATAGATATGCCCTTCAGCTTCCCTTATTTCTCTTGCAGTAATGTACCTCTTTGGGGAATAGACAGACAGACAAACAGACAAACACCACAAGTACCCATGAAACAGGATAAGATGGGTGGTGGGAATAGGTAGTAGGGTTATTTGGATGCATGGCTTATGGAGACTCCATGCCCAAAGAATATTGATTAATGGATCAATGTCAACCTGGAGGGAAGCCCTGTCCTGTTCAACATTTTAATCCATGACTTGGATGGAACTGGAGGCATGCTTAGCAAGTCTCAGATGACACAGAGCTGGAAGAATTGCTAATATGACAGATGGCAAAATCAAGATTCAAAATTATTTTGACTGACTTGAGCAATAATAAGGATAAATACAAACTCTTGCATCTAGGCTCAAAAAAATCAATTGTATACGCAGTGGATGGTGGAGACCTGGCTTGGCAGATGTCACAACCGTGTGGAACTTGAAGTGGACTATAAGCTCATGATGAGCCCAAAGTTGAGGCAATTAGGAACACAGTTAATGAAGTTTTCAAATATTTGAAATAAAATATTTGAAAAATGCCTTGGTGAAGAAAGGCTGACCTTGCATCTCCTTCCCCAGTGGGATAAAGAAGTGGAATTTTCTGGAAAGCAGTTTTTAGCTCAATATCTAAAAAAAGTTTCTAAGGATTCTAACAACAGGCCACCTCCCCCAAATTGTGACTGTAATAATTTTATCAGAATGAAATAGAAAAAAGTCTCTTAGGGTGGTCTTCCCTTTAAAAGCACAGATTTTAAAAATGATTTTAACAACTTGTAAGTCGAAGCAATACACACAAAAGCATCTGGAAAAATATGAGCTCTTAAAGTTGCCTCGCTCAGCACCCCTGAAAGTTTGCTTCAAATTCCCCAAAGAGGAGGCTCATCGAGAAGGAATATCCAGAATCTAGACGCAGCGCTGACCAGGGCCATCTCACCTCACTCCGTTTACAGCCCTCCTCCTCATTCTGGCTTTGGCTTGGCCCATCCTTCTCTCTGCTCCTGCAACTTAGGACTCGGTTCCCTTTCCTGCCTCACACCTGCCGCCCAGAGAGAGTGCTGACTCCACAGCCAGAGCCCTGGGAAACCACACCTCCTTCCAGTGCCTGCCCCAAGACCCTCACTCCCTCACTCGAAGCTGAGACCTTGAGCCTCCCGAGCCAGGCCTGGTTTCACGGAAGGCCCCAGACACTGAAGTATATGCACAAGACACCTTCTTTTCTTTCTTTTTTCTTTTTTTCTGTTGTTCTGAACACTTCCTTTTACTTGCTAACCCAGAAAGATGGAGAATGTGTGCAACAGCCCAATTTCATCCCAAACTTAGAATGTGGTTTTCGCAAGGAAGTTATCAGTATCATTAAGTTTCACTTCTACAGACACAAAATCACGTGTCCTGCGGATTTCGCACGGATGACCGTACTCACGTATTTCTCATTAAAGCCGTCCACCTCTGTCAGAAGCTTCTCTTGGCAGTCAGGGTTGGTGGCCAGGAGGTAGGTGGCAAAAGAGAGCGTGTTGGTGATGATCTCGTAGCCAGCGATGAGGAAGATGAAGGCCTGGCCCACAACCTCGTCCACAGTCAGTGGCTTGGACAGGCGGCCGGGCTGGTGTGGCTGGGAGGGACCCGCGGCGCAGTCGGTGGAGGAGAAGATTTGTCTGACCATATCAAAGCTGTCCACCCCCACAGAGGTGGCGGAATGTCGGGCATCCAGGATCAGTTGGAGGAAATCTCTCCGCCTCTACGGGACAGAACGAAAAATACCCATTCCGGCCTTTGAGTCACATGAGTGAGATTTCTTGGAGCTCAGAAGAATACCTGCATGCATAGCCTTTAATGGGCTTGAGCCTGATGGGAACCAGCACCCTCTCCGCGGGGTTCTCTGAGATGGCGAGAACCTGGCAGCCCCGAATGTCCCTTAGATGGTACTGTCAGACTTTGGTGCAGCAAACTGCAGACGGGGACGCTGCCATTAAAAAGGATGAGGCCCTTCTATCTGGGCTGATTGGGAAACGTGTTTGTTAAGCCATTTTGGGAAGGAGAAAATAGAGCACGTTGCAGAACAATATGCACAGTGGAATCTCATTTCTGTAAAAGCGGTACATGTGCAATATATATAATTACACATATTTGTTCATGCATAGAAAATGTGTAACAACATCTATACCCAGTGGCTCACAGTGAGCTGGAGGAGGTGGGAAAACGGGGGGGGGTGGCTTTGATTTTTTTTTTACTTTATATATGTTTGAACTGTTGGTTGGCTGGTTGGTTTTCCAACAATAAAACAATTAAAACATCATACAGAGTTAAACCAAAGCACGTGCTCCCTTGTTCCCTTATGCCCCGTTCAGGGCTCGGACGGGTGGCCACACACTTCCCTCCCACAGTAGGAAGGTGGCAGAGCTGCTCCTTGGGGAAGCTTGTCTTCAAAGACTGCCCCCACCCTTGGGTCCCTTTCCCCCCACTGATCCCCTACCCCATTTAAGTGCTTAGAGCTTTCTTCCCCTCTTCCCCTACCTTCCTTATCAGCAATTCCCATATTCTTTATGTTCTTCACTACCACTAATTGTAACAATAGAAGCCTTTACGTCTTGCTTTCACATTGACAAAGTGTATCCCAGGCATATCCCTTCTTCGAAAAGGGTGTTAATGTGATGAGTGACAACCAGTATGTTACTCTGTTCTGAAGTTTGAAGGACCAGACCAGCAAAGGGAGGGTGTCAGAACCACCAGCAGAAACAGATTGTGATTTCAAAGTACTTTACTTGGTGCGGCGTTTGCTCAATTCATTGGCTTCTGAATTTCTATTGCATTAATAATCTATGGCCCACACGTCAGCACTGAATCCCATGTCGTAAGATTGTTGTTATGTGTTGTTGCTTTTTCTCCTCCGTAAGCGTATAAACATGTCCAGGGCAGGACCGTGTGGCCCACCCCCGTGCCTGGTGTGGTGCCGAGCGAGTGTTAGGCCTGTGATAAACAATCCCACAAAGAACAATGCGACGCAGTAAACACATTTTGAGAAAGGCTGTGTTGGATTTGCTTACGAGTGCGCGCTATTTGGGGCGGGGAAGCTTGGAGCGTGACGCCTTTGTAGCTTGACTGCTTCCCAGCTTCTGTGACCTTGCAGGACGTCGCCTGAGATTCCAGCAGGTTCTCGCAGCTAAGCCCGTGGGCCTCAAGAACGTCGCGTCTCGGGAGCGAAGGCCTCGGTATCCTGCCGGCCTGCTCAGCTGAGCCACAGTTGGTTGTCTCTTGCCACCCCGGCCCCGCTCATTCTGATTTCCAGGCGGCATCCTCAAGGGCTGGCTTTCCCCCGATTCCCTCCGGATGCTTGGCCAACATCGGGGCGGCTCTTGGGGCTCCACTACCTGCCCTGGTCCTGGGGGGCAGAGTCGGACAGGGCAGGGCACGATGGCGCATGTGTGAGCGGAGTACCTTCTATTACTTTGGCTCCTGGGTGAGCATTGCCAGGCCTGTCAGCTGGGGGAGTGTTAGTCTCCTCGGGGCGCCACGAAGTTGTCCCTCCGGCTCCCCCGTGACTTTGCTGGAGGGGGACGGGGACGATGGCGGGCGGGAGAGCCCCAGTGGCTTTTTCCAGTGGTAGAGCTGGGGAGGGCACCCTTTCCCCTCATCCCTGCTCAGACAGGCTGCTAGAGGGCCATCGGGCAGGGCAGAAATCTGTTTTCACCTCCAGCTACAAAGGCCAGCAGAAAGGGCTGCTCTCTGGGGCCTGGGTGCTAGAGAAGAGCATTAGTGTAGATGGGTTTCTTTTATTTGCACTGCATCACCGAGGCTATTTGAACACTGCCCATTTAGGACCGAAACAGTGCTGCTTTATGGTTATACCCAAGAAAAATACGCACCCTGATAGATGTAGGTGTCTAATCCACCCATCGGCTAGAGCTTAGAAAAATATTTACCTTTTAACATCTGTGCTGCATTTTCCACTGGGCAAACACACATCTGCTTGATGGAATGTCTACAGAGTTTAGATGGGTTTAAAGCAAGTTTTCTTAGTAACCATATAGCTCTGTCTTGACACGGGCAGTCCTGGATTTGTGGTTGGGAGGTTTTTCTCAGATCAACTCATTGTTTGAAACAAACAGCTCTCGAATTTATAAAAGGAAGAGCTCGAGGCAATCCTAGTAATTGGATCTTTAATAAACCCCTCACCTCATAGTAAGCCATTCGGCGCAACAGTTTTAGAATTTTCAGCCTGATTCCACAGCCTGTGGGTTTCAGGCTGGGGGAGGGGCGAGGGTGTGTGTGAGAAAATTGTCATCAGGAAGCCCTTCAGAGCAATGCTGAGGTTTTGAAAATGCGGCTTTCCTCACCCCTCCTTCCCCAGGCTTCATCCTCATTCTGGAGACGCAGGAACCTGGATGAGAACATTCTGTCCTTTTAGGTGGCAGAGCCGGGCCAGGGATACCAGTGAGCTGATTCTTCCTACACCTCCAAGGGCATCGAGTGGAGTTCACGATGGTGTGTGTGCCAAGGGGCCGGGAGCTTCTGTACACCTTGCCCTGCCTTCTGAACTGGGACACCTTTGCTTCCCAGTCTCCAGAGGGGGAAGCCAGGCTGGATGAGGCTGCTGCTGGTGCATCCAGCCACTAATTGACCCCCCGATCTCATTCTGGGCCCATTGGTGCAGCTACCGGACCTCACGGCATCCCTTGTTAATCCCTCTGAGCCAGTCTTTGAAGCTACTCTCTCAAAGCTTGCACAAGTCAATTCCAGAGAAGACATTTTAGCCCTGTTTTTTCCTTCTGAAGCAACTTTCTTGAATGCAGTGAGGCCCTTAAAGAATAGCATTACACATGCATGAGTGTATCCAACAGTGAAATTATTTTCCAAACCCTGAAAAGTCCTATTTCTGTTCTCAGCCAAGTTCAAACAACAGATATTTCCCGGATTCCCACTATGCACCAAGCATGGTGCAAATCTGTAAGGAGGAAAGAAGTCTCTGGGTCTCGGATGACACACGAGCGAGCCCTCCGCCCCAAATTTTGTAGCCACATCCTCCATGCTGAAAGCCAGTGAGGGGTTAATTGCCCGCTGCCCAGGCTCCTCCCTACTGCTGACGCTCTTCAAGCTGTAAAACTCCACCTTGCCGACTTTCAGTAGAAAGAATATGCTGATGAAAAGTCCATGTTGGCACATTTACCTAGAAAATTCTCTGGGGCTGATGTTGCCGGTGCTTGAAATAGGCCATGAGTTTGGGGGGGCACCCATGTCAGAATGTGGACAATTTGCTCTGGGCTTCTCTCCGCCGTCTCCCCCCCCCGCCCCCCACCCCAACTGTCCTCACCTTTCTCTTCCATGTTCGCCCCTCCTTACCCCTTCTCCTTTCCTTCAAGTGCCCTGGAAAGCTCTAAGCGGTAGGCCGCTGAAGGCCAGCATGCTGTGGTGTGCGGGCCTGGGAGGCAAGAGACAGGGAAGAGAGCACGGTGCCAAATTAGGCCCCGTTCCGTTTCCACACTGTGCCCTATTAAGATCCCTTACCTCTTCTGCCGCTTGCTGGTCCCGCAAGGCAATCACATTCCTAATGAGTTTTTTAAAAAAGCCATTCAGTTCATCTCGGTTCTTATTGGGCAAAATCCGGGCCAGTGGGACCATTATGGATGGAAATGATACTTGAAAGATAAAAACAAAAGCTACGCTGAAAACAGGGCGGCAGTAACCCGGAGCCATCCAATGCCTGTTGCCCGGGAGGCAGACCCCAGTCTTGACGTAGAGTCACCGGAAGACAAGGGGGTCTCCCCTCGATCCGAGCTTTCCCGTAGGGCTCGTGCCTGATTCCACCTCCCCACACCTCACCGTCCCTTGCACGTTGTAAGCACTCCATACGTGTCTGCGCAATTGAATCTGCACTTCCCTCTCGCCCCCAGGAAGTCAATCTCATACTTAGAAATTAGTTTTCCAGGTCCTAGACAAGAGGGCCCAAGGTCTTCGTATTTCATCAAGAAAGGACGGATGATGGGCCACGTCTCCCATCTGAGCAAGTGGTAGAAGCTCATCTACTTTCTTAACTTTCTGGCCATTTGCATTTGTTTCGCATGGGGTCACTGTCCCTGGAGCTACCACCCGAACAGTCCCTAAGAGCTGCCCAGGCCGCTGCTGGCAAGAATGCTGGCCCCTTGGTACCTCCCTTGCTGTGCCAGGCACGCCCTTGTGCCCTTGCTGCCACAGCCTCGGCGGGGCTCCCTGGGCCAGGGACACTTATCCCCTCGTGGAGCGAGGTCTAGGTCGAGGGGCTGAGCTGCTGCTGGGTGGCTTAGGTCAGCTCAGCTTCCCAGCATGGACAGTGGGCCCACCGTGCACGGCACTGATGGGAACCCGGATCGGGAGGGTAGTTCTGGACCCTCGGAGCTCCCAGAACACTCTGCCCATTTTCAAGAGCCAGAGCCCAAACCGCTCTGGTGCAGCAGGGAGGTGGGCTCACAGTGGCCGAGAGAGGAGGGGTAGCTGGGGCGGGACAGCAGAGCCGCCCACCACAGGGCGTGTCCATGTCCGTGGTCCATGGCAGGTGGAGCTGACTCGGGGGAGCACTCCCAGGGGGTGGCTGGGGTGAAGGACAAAAGGGAGGCTGCTTTGACCCCCTTGGCAACCCCTCCTACAATTTCAGTGAGGAGCTGATGGAGGTGCCAGGGCCTTCCACAGAAATGGACTCAAATGGGAACGAAACTGACCAAGGAAAGAACACAATTTAGCAGCCCAGCAGAAAGGTCAGAAGTTAGGGCAATAATCAATAACAGCAATAGCAACACTTCAATACTTCCATAAAAGCAAGAAGGTGCCGGAATTGGCCAGAGGGCAAAAACTCACTCCTGAAATAAAAATAAAATAAATCGACCCATCCCCACGGCATTAGGTAACCTGCCAGTCACCCTTCACGTATGATTTCTAGTTTGCTGTGCACTGGGCTTCCAGTGGAGAAGACTTCTGAAGAGGATTTTGCTGGAGGGGGGGAATATGTCGTAGAAAATGAAAGGCTTTGGGGGCGCCTGGCTGGCTCAGTTGGTTAAGCGTCTGCCTTCGGTTCAGGTCATGATCCCAGGGTCCTGGGATTGAGCCCTGCATCGGGCTCCCCGTTCGGTGGGGAGTCTGCTTCTCTCCCTGCCCCTCATCCTGCTCTTGTGCTCTCTCTCTCTTGCTCACTTGCTCTCTCTCAAATAAATAAATAAATAAATAAATAAATAAGAAAATGAAAGGCTTTGGGCTCCCATCTTGGCTCTGCATTTTTTTTTTTTTTAAGATTTTATTTATTTATTTGACACAGAGAAAGACACAGCTAGAGAGGGAACATAAGCAGGGGCATCAAGAGAGGGAGAAGCAGGCTCCTGAGCCAGGAGCCCAATGCGGGGCTCGATCCCCGGACCCTGGGATCATGACCTGAGCCGAAGGCAGATGCTTAACGACTGAGCCACCCAGGTGCCCCTTGGCTCTGCCTTCCTAAGCTTCAGTTTTCTGAAGTGGGGATGCGGCAGTGTGAGCAAAGTGCCCAGCACGGTCCTCCCTGCGGCAGTGGCAAGAGAGGCCCGCGCTACCTGCCTTGGTAATGAGTGGCCCCGGCTGGTGACAGGAGGAGCCTGGGTGGCTCCAGGGGCATGGGGCCTCTGCGGGGTGGACCCTGCAGGGCGACTCTCAGGGACCCCTCGAGTGCCCCTTGCTCGTGGTGGGGGCTGAGCCCCGAGAGCTGCCTGGGCCCACCCCGCAGGCATGGGGTCTGGTCAGCTTGCTCGACCCCGGTCTTACCGCCCCGGGCAGGAGCTGTACTTACAGATTAGGACCAGGACAGGCCTGGGGATGGAGAATGCAAAGAAACGCCTGCAGTGCGTCACAAAGGGGTCCTCGGGGGCCCTTCGGGAGTCCACCTGGGTGCCAAAGGCGACACTGGCAACCACGTCTGTGGTGTAGCAGCTGTAGCACCTGTGGGAGAGGGAGCCATTTGGGTTTGGAAAGGACTCTGCCATTGGCTTCGCCTTTGTGCACACTCCTAAAGAGGCACCGCTCCATCGTCTACCTGCTGGAAAGGGAAGCTTCCTGCAGAGCTGAAGTGAGGGGGTGGGAGAGGAGCCTCCCCTGCCGCCGCCCCCCGACCCCCGGATGGGATCCTTTGAGCATGGCAACAGAATTCCAGAGGAGACACAAAAACATCTCAGATGGCTGATGCCAACAGAGACTGGGGAGGTGAGGAGAGAGCATCACTTCCTCGGCTCTCAGGCTTCGGGCAGCCTGAATCAACCAGCCACCGTCAAACTCCCAGAAGTATGCTCTAAATCTTCCTCCCCGTGGAGGAGGGAAACAGATGACCCGAAGCCCATGCTGTCACCCCAAAGCTGTGCAGAGTCTGTCCAAAGCCAGGATCGAGTGGTTAATTGATATCGAGCAAGTTGGGACTGATGAATTGGCAACCTGGGTGTCTGGTTTTATAAGCTTTGTCCCCCTCTTCCTCCTAATGATTGTACAGTTTTTCTAAGAGTAACAAACCAAAAACAAGGGCGCTTCACACTCGAATAAATACAAGACAAACTTTGGGACCAGCTTCATGAACATATGTATATTATTACAGAAAACACACGTTGCACTTTAGAAACAAACAGAAGGAAAAGTGTCTGGCAATAGCTCCAGAAAAATTAACCTCTTCGGCTCCAGGAAACCTGCCCTCGAAGGGCCATTTTAAACCAGAATGATCCTTTTTTGGTATCTTGCGGGAGCAGTCAGGTGAAGTTATTTCTAAAAAAAGCTACCAACGGGGTATGCATATCCTTTTATAACGAAATGTTCTTATTTTTGTGGCTCGACGGGGGGCACACACGGAGCTCCTTTCCTTCCACGTTCTATCACCACCAGCTTACCGTTAAGGAATAAAAGACCTCTCCAGATGACTTCTTTTATTTTGACTGCTTTATTGAAAACATTCCTACAATTGATTACACATGTCCCCGCTATAGCGAAAAGTTTGCCTACTGAATGTGATTGCATCTGATCCTAGCGGCCCAAGAGCTCAGGGTTTTTAAGTTATTTACTTTGCTTTCACAGTTGCTCTTTAGCCAACTCACACAGCTCATGACCAAAGAGCTAGTGTGTGTGTGTGTGTGAGAGCAAAGTGTGTGTGAGGATTTTGTAAACACCACGGCAGAATTTGAATGCTGGTGATGGTTATGTTATTACTTTATTAGCAATGATAATAGGAACGAGTCGGCTTCTGGTTGACCTGCCTCTCTCACCCTACTTCTGTGCTGTAAGCCATAACTTAGCCTAGGACAACTGGAGGGGAAGCCAGATAATCAGTCATTTAAATTTGGTGTCCACCGCTAAGTCATGGCTTCTAGACTGAGGTACACAATTCTTCTTGCAGTAAAAATGCATGGACTCCCTGCCCCCCAGAACCCTGTCCTTTCTGTGCCCTCCTGCACCTGCAGAGGTCAGAGGGCGTGTCCACCCACACACCACTGCCCACTCAAGGCTTCCCTCACCACGCCACACCTACCCTGGGCTTTGTTCACATTCTCTTCACATTTTACATGGGTTTCATTTCTTATTATTCAGTCCACCCATGCTTTTTATGAGCTTCTAGCATTTCCATAGTTTGCTGGTCCCGAGGTAATTGTCCAGCAATTATGTACAGTTACACGAAGCGGCAATTCAAAAGTGCGATTTCTCATCTGTCATGTGTCCGTGTAGCACCCTTACCTCTGGATGTCGAAAGCGTCCCCAGATTCCGCATAGTGTTTTAAGTGAGCCAGGAGCAGATCGCAGGCTTGGCTGATTAGGGGCGTCATCTGATAGCAGATAACAAAGGGGTAATTAGGACACCATGCAGGGAGCACACCTAAATTAGCTGCAGATAAAGAGGTTATGTGTGGTGCTTCCTGGGAAAACAGACCTTGTTTTCAAGGTAACTTTCATGCAGCTAAGACTCAAGAGGAGGCTCTGAAATTCATAAATATCATAAAACACAATAGCTGTAAATGTCTATTTTAGCTTATGCAATCTGTTATTTTGGAAGCAAAAAGAAGAAAGGATTTAGAGTAAATACTGTGAAATAATTACAAAAATGATCATTAAGTGCTTAGACAGAAATGAGAATCAGTACTCGGTTTCATGACATTTGGTTAGCATTAGAGAGTAAATAGACCACAATCCATATGTACTTTCTCTGGAATTAGCCCAAATCCATGTTTGCTTGGTTCCAATTATACTTTAGGTCTTCTGCTAGAATATAGAATTGTAGTCTCCAAAGGAACGTAAGGTCATCCATTTTAACTTTTTACTCAATACAAAAATCACTTGCAGAGCATTTCTGAGGGACAGCTATTCATTTCTGCTTCAGCTGCTAACACCTCTGACTATGTACGTGTAAGGGAACCCTTGACTTCAAGACGCCTTCCATGCCCACCCAGAAAAATTGCTGCATTTCTTTTAATAGTAAAATATTTTCATTATGGGAAACGTCTAGCCTATGCACACACACACAGAATGGTATCGTGAACATTCACGTAATTATTGTCCAGCTTCATCAAGTTTGGATCCCATTTTTGGCTGCTGCCACTCTGACCCCAGCAGGCTGGCTCAAGCGGGTGGGATTCTTTGCGGAGCCTGATGGCCACCCATGTGATCTTCTATTTCCTCCTGTATGTTTGCAAAGCCAAGTCGGAAACGTCGAGGGGAATCCTTCCAACCAGTGCCCATTCTAGAATGACACCGTAGCTAAAGCAACGTGCCGTAACATTGTTCTGAGCATTTCTTATGGAAAACATTTTTGAAATGTTAACTATGTTCAGATTTTATGATTTTGACACTAGAATGTAACTCCCTGAGGGCAGGAAAGATTTTTGTCTTTTTGTCTCTTTGTCTTTTTGTTCATTTTTATGTCCCCAGAACCTAGAACGATGTCTAGCACATAGTAATTATTTGTTGAACGAGGGAATGAATTTGAATGAATACTTAAGACCCAGTCTTTGCCCTTAAAAGGCTTTAGGGAAAGTTACAGGATGTTAATCTACTTGTTAGAAGGTATGTTGTGCTGAGGCCAAAATCTGGCCCCTCTAACAACCTCTCACTGGTTTCAGTTGACTTCTTCCACGTGGTGGTGCTTCAAATACTCCGACAGCAAGCACTGCTCCTCCTCATCTTCTAGACAATTGTCCCCGTCCTTTCAATTGCTCCTCATGCAACACGGTCTGTGCACACTCCTCCATTCTTATCACTCGCTCTCTCTCTCTCATCAGTGTTACTCCTAAAAGGCAGCTCCATAAATGGAACACAATATTTCAGGTAAGATCCCATAAATCGTAATTGGATCACTTCCCTGCCTGCCAATCACAAGCCCAGGTGTATGTGGACTTCTAGAGAAGACACGTAGGACAGGCAAATATGGAGGTTCGGGTCAACAAAAGCTACAAGGTCTTTTTCCATGAATCATCACCATATGCAATTGAGTTTTTGACACTTCAGACTCCATTCATTAGAAAAACTTTATATTTATGTTACATTTATTGCTGTAAAAAGTTGTCCTGCCATGTGTTCTGAGCAGAACAGTCTTTTAACTCCCCTAAAACATTCAGGTGATTGGAGAAGCCTGGCACAGTGGGACAGCCTGGGTGGCTGTTGGCCAGATGTTGGAGGGACACATGGCTTTGTTGGACCCCTCCCTCCTGTAGGTCTGCTAGTCACCCCATGTATTCTGGAGCGTAAGGACAGAACTGTGATACCAGGGGCCCAACTGTTTGCTGTGGGAGCCCTCCCTGGAGGAGATGGTGCTGAGAAACAGAAGGACACCCCTGGTGAGTAAGAGTGAGCTGTAGGCTAAGCTCAGGGCTAAGCTCAGTGTGAGTTTCTGGAGTGGGGACAGTGGCCTGGGCAGCACCTAAGGGCAGGTCAAGGAGCAGACGTTCAGAGCAGAATACACCCCCGCACTCAGTGGAGAGATGGCAGAGCATCTGAGACTCTTCCTTGTTGCCAAGACTTCTGGAAGAAGTATCTGGAGAGGAAAATTCTGAGAAAAAGGACTTTCTGCTCAGCCAGCTTCAAGGGCTGAGAGCACCAGAGTGCTTGTACTCAGTGTAGGTGGGCCATGGGGCGTACTCACACATTCAAATCTCATCTCCTGTAACGTTGGTGATTCCTTCTTGTTCCATCTGAGATTTGGTAAGTGTGCCTTCTAAGCCTTTGTTCGGTTTGTCAATGTGCATCCAGGAGCAAACACAGAGCCTGTGGCCCTCCACTAGACTGCTACTTTAGGTAGCTACAGAATTGGTCAGTCATCTCGGTTTCTGGCTCTTTGGCTAGCTGTGCGTGAACCTAAGTAAATATTTAGCCAGGCAGCAACTGATCAATAAGTTGGCTGGGGAAGTTTGTCAGATGATTTGCCAAAATAGAAATGGAATTTACCTCATATGCCTATCCTGAAGTCCGCTCAAAACAGGGATGAGAATCGCTATCCTGACTTATTCTTTGTAACTCTGGGTAGACTCTTCATGACAACTGCATTCTTTTCTAAATGTTCACCCACTGTCAATTTAATAATCTCTCTAAGTGCGTGTAAATGGGTCACTTTTAGTGGCCTCTGGGCCATCACTCTCAAAAAATCTTAGACTACCTTTGTGTTTGGAGAACTCTACTATCTCATCCACATTTCTGCGACTGCCTTCGCTGGCTATATCCTTCCATTATTTTAATAAACTTAGTGGTACAAGTGAACTCTATTTTAATAAAACCCCATATACCAAAATTTCTCTTCCATTTATTTCAGAGGAATAAGAACGTGGTAAAAAAAGAAAAATGCTGTTCTAAAGGAAGTCTTTTTAGATATCAAGCTTACAGCACCCTTAATGTAACAAAAATGGTATGCAACATAAAATTAGATTTATACTCAACTCTTCAGAAGCATGCCCTCCGCATAAAGAGGGGTCCACCCATACTCAATCCAGTCATATGCTGGACAGTGCAAAGCGGGGCTGGATCCACCGCCCGCCCTTGGTTCCACTATGAGCTTGTAACTAGAATGTTTTGTGGCTGACTGGCATGATTGTAATTTTCTACCATGCTCTGCTTGCTGTCTGTTGCACTGAATGGATTATGACATTTTTATTTGGGTTAATGTGATATGAGATGGGGCATGTAATATGAAAAATGTTTTAAGAAGCAATGCAGAGAAAATATAAGAGTGGAGCATGATCTGTATGTTGGCCAATAGGCATCATTTCAGGCTTTCTTCCTTGCATTATATACAAGAAGGTATGGAATATTCACTCTCACATGAGTTGCATACAAACAAAAGCTCTCTTTGATGGGCTTGCCATCATCTTTATACAATCCACAAGCCCAGCCGTTACTCCCCTGGATTTGGAGACAAGCAGATATAGGTGGCTTGTGCAAACACACACACACAGATGAGCACACAGTGCTATCGTCAGATTTTAATAAAAGATTCTCATTTGATTGTTAACGTTTCAGCTTTGTAGGATAATGAGAAATTTTTATTTTTGTTTTTTTCCCACAGTTTTCATAATGCATGGATGTGATACTTATCATCAGATAAAATATTAATGTTATTAGGTTTTAAAAGAATGATTTCTTCTTGGGGATGACAGTCTAACAGCCACACCCGAGGAGAAAGGGTTCCCATTTTGCTTCTCTCACCTCTCACATGGGTTGGCTTTATTCTAGATGATGCTGAGCATGCGGCTGGTCAGCCATTTGGAAACTAGCAGTCACCATCAAGGGTAAAGTACCACCCTCAGCCTGGGGAAGAAATTCTTCAAGGAAGGAAGGAAGTCCTTGCTCTAGACTGCTCTCTACCTGGAGTTGACTGTATGATTAAATCACCCAGTTAAGAAAAAAAAAAAAAAGGATTTTTTTTACAGACTGTGCCTGAGGAATTCTGAGCCAAGGTATAGACAGAGGGCAATAGAATTAATTCAACAAGGTGGAGAGAGCTTTCAGAGTGATCAAAAGAGACAACTCATGGGGTAATGACAAAGAAGGGCTAAGAAATTCTCCTGCTCATAGGCTTTCTTCTCTCCTAGGTGATTCCCAAATTTCTTCAGTGGTGTTTCCTCCTCTGAGGCTAAGATGCTGAACTTGTTAAGTAAACTTGACCCTGGGAGAGCAAAGTCTCAAAGCCACTGCCAGTTGTTAGATTTCTTCTGCTTGGCACTTCTTAGTTGTGTGGCCTTGGGCAAATTGCTCAACTTCAGTGAGTCTATTTCTTCATCTGCAAAATGTAAATAATAAGACCTTCTTTGAAGAGTTGTGACAGCAATTAGAAGTTGGCTGGGGAAGTTTGTCAGATGATTTGCCAAAATAGAAATGGAATTTACCTCATATGCCTATCCTGAAGTCCGCTCAAAACAGGGATGAGAATCGCTATCCTGACTTATTCTTTGTAACTCTGGGTAGACTCTTCATGACAACTGCATTCTTTTCTAAATGTTCACCCACTGTCAATTTAATAATCTCTCTAAGTGCGTGTAAATGGGTCACTTTTAGTGGCCTCTGGGCCATCACTCTCAAAAAATCTTAGACTACCTTTGTGTTTGGAGAACTCTACTATCTCATCCACATTTCTGCGACTGCCTTCGCTGGCTATATCCTTCCATTATTTTAATAAACTTAGTGGTACAAGTGAACTCTATTTTAATAAAACCCCATATACCAAAATTTCTCTTCCATTTATTTCAGAGGAATAAGAACGTGGTAAAAAAAGAAAAATGCTGTTCTAAAGGAAGTCTTTTTAGATATCAAGCTTACAGCACCCTTAATGTAACAAAAATGGTAT